GTCATGGTCTTGCTGACCGTTAAGGTAAAATTTTCTTCAAGTGTTGAATCACAGCTTCAATGCCTTCTGCGTCATGAGACTGGATGAGGATGTCGTCAACGTAGGTGAGTAGCCACACCGTGTCCTTTCCGTCTCTTTTCCAGATAAACAGAGATGGGTCTGATTCAGATTGCACCATGTCCAGCTCCAATAAGACACCCCGTAAGTGCTGATGCCACAAGCGTGGTGCTTGTTTCAGCCCATATACACTTCTTTTGAGGTTCCAGACTTTGTCTCCATCCCGCCTTGGTTCTGGTGGTCTCACGTATATGTCCCGGTCAATCGGAGCGTACAGGAATGCATTGGAGATGTCCAGCTGCACCACTTTCCGCTTTGTAGTAGATGCTCCAGCAACGAACATACGAGAGGTAGGTCCTTGACTGACCGGTGCATACGTCCCATCGTATGTCCCCCAAGTCTGTCCGCATCCCTTGACCACCCAGCGCGCTTTGAACCGGTTTGGCTGTCCTTGCTCATCTCATTTCACCCGTAAAACAACTCCTTCCGTCAGCACCGGTGTTCCTTTTGGTATGTCCGCTCTGTCCACCACTTCGTATGCGTCCAGCTCATCAAACTTGGCCAATTCTGCATCCACAGCGGCTTGCCAAAGAGGTGCGTACGGGTCCTTGGTCATTTCTTGAAGTGTTTTTGGCTCTTTGTATGTCAGTTCCACCATGGGGACGCCGGTTGCTGCACATCCCAGTACGTTCTGCTGCTGCAAGTTGGGAAGCCGTGTGACTGTTTGTCCTGCCTGCCGCCTCCCAAACAGTATGTCCAGGCCTGTCATGTTGTCCGTCCCGTGTCCTTCTCCAAGCACTGTTACCGTTGGGTTGAAGTGAACCCGCCGTGGCGGCAAGTCAGGAGCAACCAGCGTGATACCCTCGGGTGGGTAGGCAAAGTCGTAGAGATGACTTGCTTCATCTCTTGGTTCGTTGTTGTCAGCACCTTCACAAACAGAGATGCCTGCCGCTGGTAAGTCACTTGTCGTTGTCTCTTCTCCTGTATCGGCTTCACGAGCTGCTGGTGAATCTTCTTGAGCTCCGTCATTTGCCTTAGGTCCATGTTGTTCTGCTGTAGCGGCGTCAGAAGAGGATGGGGAGGAAGTGTGGGATACGGGAAAAGAGTCGAATGCTGACCTAACGCCGTCTCCCCCGGAAGTCCACTCCGAGATATGAGGTGAGACTTCATCCATGTATCGTTGGCGTTCGAGCAGAGACTCGGCGTCCGGGAGCATGAGGTCGTCAAAGAAACGAGCAGAGCGTGTGTCGGTGTCAACGTCGCTTGCCAAGTCCCGCACGATCCAGGCCTTGCGTGAGTTAGAGAGGCCGAGAAACATGCCGGCCCGTCCTCGTTGCTCAAACTTCCCGAAGCTGCCTTGGGGAGGGAGATAGTAGCAGAGGCATCCGAAGGTCCTTGCCATGGAGACATCTGCAGCCTTCCCCGTCATCATAAAGTATGGTGAGTGGGCGGATGGGTTGCTACTGCAGCTGAGGCGGTTGTGTAACCATGCTGCATACTCCAACGCGTAAGGCCAGAACTTAGAGGAGAGGCTGGCTGCGGTGGTCATTGCACGCACTCGATCCATGAGCGTGCGGTTGACTCGTTCCGCGACTCCATTCTGCTGCGGTGTGTGTGGTAGCAATGTTTGGTGGCTGATGCCATGAGAGCTCAGGTAATCCGTGAAAGCATTTGCGGTGCACTCCCCCCCGTTGTCCGTGCGTAAAGCAGCCAGCGGCGTTGTGGGCAACTTGGCCTTCATCTCGCGATGCCAAGCAGAGAAAACAGCTGCCATGTCGGATCGGCGAGTCAACGACGCCACCCACAGGTAGTTGGTGTAGTCGTCCTTGAGCGTCAGCACATAGCGAAGTGAGGGGTGAGCGTCACCCAAGTCCATAATGTCGCTATGCACGAGCTCCAAGGGTCGAGTTGTGCGTTTGTCGCCACCTGTGGGAAATGGGGCCTTACTCATCTTCCCTCGAAGACATGAGTCACACGGGGGTTTGAGTGGGTTTGTCTTGTCGGATATGGAGAGTCCTTCAACATCTCCATTGCGGAATGTTGCGTCCATGGATGTGTATGATGGGTGACCCAAACGCTTGTGGGCCATGCGATATGTGATGGATGCATGAGCAGATTGCACATTCAACCCTCCAGGATCAGTCTCATTCGATGCTTCATTCGGATGATCATGACCAGATTCATGGGCGGATGCAAGTGCAGGCTCATATTGCACCATTAGCACCCCATGCATGATCATTCCAACTCCAATGAGAACACGCTCATCTCCATCCGCCATTGTGATCTCCGTGTATCCATCCTCACGTGTGTGAATGCGAGCTCCCTTCTTGTACAGTTGGCAATATGAGAGCAGGTTGGACTTCAAGCCGGGTACGTAGAGCACGTCCGTGTAGCGCACTATTGTTCCATTGGGTGCCGTTGCTCGGATTGTTCCCGCCATCGAGCTCAACAGGTTGCTTCCGTCAGCAAGCTCCACGTAAACAGGTTCGTTCAGCTCTTCTAGGCCCTCAAACCACTCCTTTTCTGAAGTCATGTGTTGGCTGCATCCACTGTCCAGCAACCACATCGACCCTCCGGTTGACGGTAATGTTGCTTGTGACGATCGAACCGTTGCAATGCATGTGACGGTTCGTTTGTTGTCTCCCCCGGCTGCTTCTTGCTGTTTTGACGCTTGGCTGTCTCGTTTCGGGCTTTCACTCCTTCGAGGCGAAGACGAACGGCTACTCCAGTTGCGCTGGTTTGTCCTTCCTCTGTTTTGTGGTTCCCAACCTGGTGGTGACCAACCCGGAGGCGCCTTAGGACACTTGTAGAACGGGTGGCCAGGTTCCTTGCAGTACCAACACACAAGGTTCGAGCGCCCTCCCCTTCCTTCGTTGCCTTTGGATTTTTCCCCCACCGTCGCATGCTGTCCTCCCGTTGCCGGATTTTGGTTGCCCTTTGTCTCGGTCCTCTCCTTTGCTGGCGAAGTATCTCCGCGTGCTTGACCAGCCATGCGGGGAGGACGTTTGTCACGGTTGGTCTTGCTAATGAGGTCTTGGTAGCGTTGTTCCTGAATCATCATTCGTTGCAGTGTATAGCTGTCCGAGATGTCGTGTAGCATTGCCGAATGCCTTAGCTCCTCCCAATGCGGCGGTAGCCCGGTAATCAGGTTCAAGGTGAATGAATCTTCGTCCACCAGTTTTCCTGCCATCGCCAACTTGTCCCGAATTGCAGTTGCCCGGTTGATGTATTCCTCTACCCTTTCTTGGCTCCCCATCTTCAGGTTGTCCAATTGCCTCTGGAGAGACGCCTTTGCCACCGAATCCTTCGCCTGGTAAGTCTCCATCAGGTACTCCCATGCTTCGAATGCCAGACTGTATGACTCTTGGAACACGTCCAGCTGTAGTTGAATCGTTGCGGAAGCACCCAAAACGCCAGCGCAGCGCGTTGTGAGTAATCTGCTTGCAGAGCTTCTAGCCGTTCCATTGCATCTCGCATTTCTCCATTCGCCATTGTCACTGGGTATTGTAGTGTCACGAAAAACTCCCACAGATTTGTCACGCGCGCGTTCATGCGAAATCGAAGAGCCCACTCTCGAAAGTTGGTGCCGTCAAACGGTGTTGTTGTGAACGCCTTGTCCACCGCTGCTCCCACCATCTTGCGTGACAGTCTGTCTTTGTCTTCTTCGGTGTACTCGCGAGGAGACGGGTCGAAGAGCGTAGGCACGGTAGATGGTCGAGGTAGTTGCACCGTGCGTTGTGTGCCTTCACGTTCCACCACCTCCACTTGGTCACGTCGCATAACTCCACTTGATTGCATCCCGTGCCCCATGCGTCCGATGCTTCCTGCAGGTACAACTTCCGGTTGAGACCATTGCGCACGAGAAGGTACGATGTTGCCATAAAGGTGAGATATGCCCATTTTGGGAACTCCAATGGGATGGGAGTTAGTGGCAAGTCGGCGTAGTGGGGGAGCACCAATAGTGTAAGATTCGAATCCCACACCCTCCATGCCCACATGACTGCTTCTGCCGCTCCCTTCACCCATCTGCCTTCTCATATCTCTTCCCACATCAATCCCATCACCATGTTCTCTCACATCCCTTCCACTCCCGTACTCATCATCTCTCCCCGTTGCTTCCCTTTGCATGGTTGACTGAGGTTCGGGTTGGGAGCTCCCTTCTCCTTGGAAGGATGCATCCCTCCCTTGGGATGACTCTCCTCCTTGGGGTAGGCTTCCTTCCCCTTCACCTTCAATTCCTGCATCCACATTTGAAACGCGGGTTTGGTTAGCACGCGGAGTGCTTGCATGTGACTGTCCACGGATGGATGGGTTGTCGGAATCTCGAACTTGGGTTGCCATGTTGAATCTTGCTCTCAATGATGCTTGGAGTGTCGGTGGTGCCTTTGCGATCATGTTTTCCAGGTGCTCATGTTGAGCCAAGATTGCTTCTTCGAACGCCTCGTATCCAGCATCAACTTCCTCGTCGAACCGTGCCATGACTTCACACCAAATGTTGCCACTTGCTCTGCAGGGTTGCTAATCTGCTTAACCAATGTAGATAATGAGAGGTCTGACGAAATTTCGGCAGCATGCCCCCTAGAGTAGCTCTGATACCATGCTAGAAAGGCATGATGCCGGCGTTGCGGAAGCTAGATTGTAGAAAATCAAGGCTTGTAAACTTGCACTGAACTGGTTGGAAGCATAATAAGAGAAATGGAATTGATTGATTATGAAACCACACAGCAGGGATTTTATGCTATCAGCTACCTTGCCCATACCCATCCATCCACACCAATAATTGTGCCACCAATAATGGCGACTCTAATACAGGAGTACCAATAATTCTACCCCCAGACCTCTAGACTCCAATAATTCTAGCCCTACAATAATTGTACAATTATTGTAGGCCCTGAAGTCTTATAAGGAGGACTACAGTAAAATCTAACAGCATAAATGTTTCGTTATATGTTATATTTCTCAACACCATCATCATCATCATCATCATCATCATCATCATCATCATCATCATCATCATCATCATCATCATCATCATCATCATCATCATCATCATCATCATCATCATCATCATCATCATCATCATCATCATCATCATCATCATCATCATCATCATCATCATCATCATCATCATCATCATCATCATCATCATCATCATCATCATCATCATCATCATCATCATCATCATCATCATCATCATCATCATCATCATCATCATCATCGCCTCCCAGCATCTGTGCGATCTGCATGGCCAGCCGGGCGGCCGTGTCTCTTCGCATGGCATCGGGGGCGTTCTGCAGGCTGCTGCGCACCGACGCCACCTGCAGAAACAGGCGCTCCATGCCGTCCATGTCCGCACTCGCCTCGTCAGCATCATCACCCTGGTGGTCGAATGGGTGCACGTGCGTCCCCTCGCGGGTGTCACTGTCAGTGTGGTCACTGCCGTGGGTGTCACACTTGTGGGTGTCACTGTCATTTGACACGGATTTTTCCTTACTGCTCTCTCCGTCTGAGCCACATGCATACTGAGCCGAACCAGTGGCAGCGTCCGAACCAGCGGCAGCATCCAAACCACCGGCAGCGTCCAAACCAGCGGCAGCATCCGAACCACCGGCATCATCCGGACCAGCGGCAGCATCCAAACCACCGGCAGCATCCGGACCAGCGGCAGCATCCGGACCAGCGGCAGCATCAAAACCACCGGCAGCATCCGCACCAGCGGCAGCATCCGGACCAGCGGCAGCATCAAAACCACCGGCAGCATCCAGACCAGCGGCAGCATCCGAACCAGCGGCAGCACCCAACCCATGCACAAATGGCCCGAAATCCTCATCCGCCTCGTTCCCCTCCTCTTTCTCCTTCTGTTCCTCCTCCTTCCCACCACCACCCTCACCACCAGCACCAACAGCAACAGCAGCAGCACTGCCAGCGTCACCAGCAGGCAGGGACCCATCGCCAGCAGAAGCAGCGCAGGAAGCGGAGGCGGGGGAGGCGTGTGCAGGGGGCGAGAGGGGCAGCGCGGGGTCAGGGGCGTCGTCAAGGCGGTGGTAGGGGAAGTGCGTTGGGTCCAAGGAGGCGGGGTCATCGCTGTCACTGTCAGTTTCATTGCTCTTGTCTGATGCCGAGGACGAATGCGGTGAGTCGGGTTGGCCTGCGGGGTGGGGGTTCACATATGGAGGTCAGTGGGATGCAGGTGAGGGGAGATACGAGACGAGACGACAAGGGAGATGTTCTCGTTTCCAACAGAGAGACAAGTGGCGCAAGCAGTGAGCAATGGCTGGAGTGTGGCTGGCAGAGACCGCGCTCGGGTGTGGCTGGCAGAGACCGTGCTTGGGTGTGGCGATTATGATGCAGGAACAAGCAGGGGGTGGGGTTCAGGGATTGAGAGAGTGGGAGGCAGGAGAGTGAATGAGGGGAGCAGAGGTTGACGAGTGCACAATGGCTGGTGGGCCATGAGTCAAAACACTTGCATGAGTGTGCACGCATCCCTGCTCTTCCTCCCAGGGAGGAAGCAGCTGAGCGCACCTTCAGGCATGTGCGATGAATCACTGCCCGCCAGTCCCATGAGGTGCGACAGCCCCTGCATGGAGCCACCCAGCGTCCCCGCTTGCGCTTTTTGAGTTGAATCAGAAATGAAAGCAGCTGAGCGCACCTTCAGGCATGTGCGATGCATGGCTGCCCGCCAGTCCCATGAGGTGCGACAGCCCCTGCATGGAGCCACCCAGCGTCCCCCCTTGCGCTTTTTGAGTTGAATCAGAAATGAAAGCAGCTGAGCGCACCTTCAGGCATGTGCGATGCATGGCTGCCCGCCAGTCCCATGAGGTGCGACAGCCCCTGCATGGGACCTCCCCGCGCCCCACCCTGCGCCTTGAGTGTCAGCCCCGGCCACATGTGCGCGCCCAGGGCGGTGCGGATGCGCTCTATGCCTTGCATGTCACCATCCATACCCAAGGCTGTGCGTGCAAAGGGAGAGGGGGGTAGATGAGGGAGAGCAGAGGAGAGCGTGGTGGGGCACACACGGAGAAGACAAGCGCCAGCCGCGGCCTCATGTGCGCACCCAGGCCTGTGCGGATGCGCTGCACTCCCTGCGTGTCACCGTCCGTTCCCAAGTCTGTGTAGGGGGGGGGGGGGAGTGTGTGGGGAGAGCGGGTTTGAGTGGTGGGGCACACAAGGGTACACACAGGGCACACTTGGGGCAGTCACTCACTCACTCACTCTCTCACTCACTCACTCACTCACTCAATCACTCACTCACTCACTCACCCGCTCACCCACTCATTCACTCACCCACTCACTCATTCACTCAACCACTTACCCACTCACCCACTCACTCACTGACTCACTCACTCACCCACTCACCCATTTACCCACACACTCACTCACTCACTCACTCACTCATTCACTCACTCACTCACTCACTCACCAGCATCAACAGCCTCGCTGGTAGCACACGCCTCCACATACTCGATACCGTTGTCAGCACACCACTCCTCGCACTGCCTCCGCCTCACCTCCCCCCCCTCCCCTTCACCTCCCTCCCCTGCCCCAGTCCTCTCCCCTTCCCCTGCCACCAATAATTCCCCACATTCTGCCCCCTCTCTCTCCTCCCCCTCCGCATCCCCCCTGCCTGCGCCCAGCAGCAGGGCGCCATCAAAGTCTGTGTCCTCGTCCCCATCCCTCTCCCCATCTCTCCTCTCCGCCCTCTGCCGCCCACGCCGCTGCGCCGCTATGCTGTTGTGCCCCACACTGCCCCCACGCCCAACTCGGTCCGCCTTGTTGCCGACGCACAGGCGAATCTCAAAGCGAGACAGGTCAGCGTGGTCTGCCCACCGCTGCACGGCTGTGAATGATGCCGGCTGGCAGGAGGGGCAAGGGGGAGAGGAGGGTGGGAGGGTAGGAGAGTAGGAGGGTGGAAGTGTGGGTTCTAAGGGACATACTGGAGAGCTTTGAGACGACTCAAAACCTCTAAGGGCTGGTGGGGGAGTCCGGAGGAAGGGATATAGTGGGTGAGGGTGAGTGTGACTGGCTGCACGTGCGCACTGTTCCCATGCAGTCAATGGCGCACGCTTGGAGTAGTGAGACAGGTCTGTTTTGAGACGTGCAGGGTGGGAGGGGCGACACAGGTCTGTTTTGAGACGTGCAGGGTGGGAGGGGCGACACAGGTCTGTTTTGAGACGTGCAGGGTGGGAGGGGCGAGACAGGTCTGTTTTGAGACGTGCAGGGTGGGAGGGGCGAGACAGGCCTCAGGGGTAAAGATGGGGGATGAGGTGAGTGAAGGACGCGGCAGTGAGAGGGATCCGACTGACCAAACGGTTGCAAATGGTTCGGGCTGGGGGAAAGCGAAGAGGGGCGGGCAGTTTGTGTGGAACAGGGTATACTGTTGGTCATGGGATGCACTTGCATGCAGCAGGAAGGAAAGGCCGAGAGCAGGCAGTGGTGGATGGTGCAAGGAACAAAAGGCACCAACATACATTGGCATCATGGCATACGCACGCAATGCTTCCCAGCACGACACTCCCCGGGCTCACATCGGAGAGTGTCGTGAAATCAAAGACGAGCAGCAGCGCCTCAGCTCCCTTCACGAGGGGCGAGGCATGCAGCACCAGCAGCAACCAGCCTACTGCTAACCCAGGTCTACTCTACTGAGGCACGAGCCCAGTCCCCGCGGCGAGCCCAGTCCCTTGGCGCACGCACATTGGAGAGGTCAAAGACGAGCAGCAGCGCCTCAGCGCCTCTCGCGAGCGGAGAGGAGGGACCCGTGGTGCCGCAGGGCTGCACAGAGGAGAGGCGCGCCGTCCACACGGCCACTGCTGCCGTGTAGTACTTGGTGTCTACCTGCCAGCTGGGGAGGGCGAGAGGGTGGGGAGAGGGAGGACGGCAGGGGTGGGGGCCACGTGCTATGAGGAAACATATGCCTTCCATACGGCTCTGGGATGTGTGAATTGCATCTCCAGATAGCCTCTGGGAATGCAGAATCCACAATCCAGCCTTGCATGAATGGTATGGTGCCGGGCCAGTGGAGTGCGGATATGCAGAGAGTTGTCGGTGTGGTGCACATGGCGGGCAAACCCAAGAGCCTCGTGTCACTTTGAAGCCAGCGCTCCAATGGCGCCCCACCTCTACTCGGCCCCCTACCGCCCTTGCACCCACCTGAAGCACTGCCCACCTGAAGCACTGCCCACCTGAAGCACTCTCCCGCTGCCGTGTTGCTGCTACTGCTGCTGTATGCATGCGGGTGTGCCGCTGTGAGCCCTGCGATGCCAGTGAGTCATGTGCGGGGGTGGGGGATAGCGGGTGAGAAGTGGGGGTGGGGGAAGGGGGTGGGGGAGAGGGGGTGGGGAGAAGGGTTGGGGGAGAGGGGGTGAGAAGAGGGGGTAAGGGAGGTTGGGCGGAGGGCATACGACAGAGGAGGAGGGAGCAGGGTGGGCAGAGAGGGCCGGGGGATGAAAGGCAGGAAAGAGGGGAGGGTTGGAGGGTGAAAGGCAGGAAAGAGGGGAGGGTTGGAGGGTGAAAGGCAGGAAAGAGGGGAGGGTTGGAGGGTGGGGAGGGCGGGGAGGGGAGTATACGACAGAGGGAGCGGAGGGAAGGGAAGTAGGGAGGAGGGGAGGGAGCGGAGGAGAGGAGGGATGGTTGGAAGGGAAGGGAGGACATACATTGTGTGAGGGTGGTTTTGCCGACATAGGGAGAGCCCAGGACCAACACACGGGGGAGACTTGCCACGTCATCAGGCACAGGTGGATGATTTGCCACGTCGTCAGGCACAGGTGGATGATTTGCCACGTCATCTGACCTGGGGCATGCAGAAGCATGGGGATCGTGGGGTGCCATCGCTGCAGCGCGCAGGAGAGGAGGGAGAAGCAAGGGGAGAGAGGAGAGAGGAGAGAGGAGAGAGGAGAGAGGAGAGAGGAGAGAGGAGAGAGGAGAGAGGAGAGAGGAGAGAGGAGAGAGGAGAGAAGAGAGGAGAGAGGAACGAGAGGGTATGGATAGGAGAGGGGGGATGGAGAAGAGGGAAAGAGGAGAGAGGGAATGGAGAGAAAGAGGGAGAGAGGGAATGGAGAGTAAAGAGAGAGAGAGGGAATGGAGAGAAAAGAGAGAGAGAGGGAATGGAGAGTAAAGAGAGAGAGAGGGAATGGAGAGAAAAGAGAGAGAGGGAATGGAGAGTAAAGAGAGAGAGAGGGAATGGAGAGTAAGAGAGAGAGAGGGAATGAAGAGCAAAGAGGGAGAGAGGGAATGGAGAATAAAGAGAGAGAGAGGGGGCATGAGAACAGTGCAGTGGCACGGCAAGAGTTTTGCACGATGGTGTGGGAAGATGCACAGATAGAAAGGGCTTCCCTCTGTTCACTCGCGCCAGCAACTCCCCTCGTTTCACCCGCCTCCCCTCACCCGCCTCCCCTCACCCGCCTCCCCTCACCCGCCTCCCCTCACCCGCCTCCCCTCACCCGCCTCCCCTCACCCGCCTCCCCTCACCCGCCTCCCCTCACCTGCATTGCCCCGCCCGCCCACCTTGCTTGCACGTCCCGGAGAGGGGTAACCGGAAGGAAGCCGTGAGGGCGTGTCCAGAGAGTACGTCTGAATGCAGTTGAGTGAGCCTTAGTACGGGTTAGAGCGGTCAATTTAAGAGTTAAGATGTTTGAATAGGGTTTTACGTACTTTCTGGACCCGCCGTGAGGAAGGAGAAGGGCGGCGAGGGAGGCAGGCTGGTGGGACGAATGGAAGCGAGGGCAGATGGGACCAAGCCAAGGGGATAGCGGGATGGCGGGGATAGTGGGGGGCGAGGGGCGTGCGGAGCACGCGGGCCGCGAAGGTAGGCGCGGCGGGGCGGCGCGAGGCGTGCGGATCGATGGGGAAAGGTGCGGACGCAAGAAGAGTGTGATATTGGATGAGAGCAGAGGGACGGGCGGGTGGGAGCGAGGCGAGTCCGGAGAAGGAAGAGAGGGAGGAGTTAAGGCCGGAAAGGGCTAGCGCCTGGCGGGACCGAGAGGGGCCAGGAGGGGCGCGACCTCCGCGCGTACCTTGCGAGGGATGCGGGACGCGGGGAAATTGGCCCGAGGGCGCGAGCGCGCAAAGAGAGTAACGCGGAGGTCGAATCGCGCCTCTGTGCCGTGCTTGCTCTCCCTGCTGCCAGGCTGTTCCCCAGTGTATTTGGCCCTTGCTATCACAACGGCGAGCTAAGGCGAGAATCACACTCTGCTATACTGAAGCACTCACAAAAGGTTTTGGTATGAACAGGGCAGGAGTGTCTGCTCATTGGCTGCTTGGCTGTCTCGCGAAGAAAATAGTCATCGAAATTCGCAACCACTATTTCGTGTGTCGTCTTACATGAGCATCCGTTATGATTAGAAGGCATAAGCTACATACAAGGGAAAACACTTACCCCAGTTCTGCGTGTTAGTGTGATTAGAAAGAAAAGCCCATCATGGTCTGAAGGCATTTCGGCAAAAAAAAAAAAAAAAAAAAAAAAAAAAAAAAAAAAAAAACAAGAGGCGACGAAATCGTCTTAGGGTTGCGAAGCTGTTTTGCAAAAGTAACATACTATATATTTTATATTTATATAGAATTTTGAGCTATGTGGGACTCTGTGCTTGTTCTGTTACGCCTGGTTAAAATTCGATGAATGAGAAATGAACCCAGTACCTTTCGATTCAGCACCTTCGCCCAAAGGACTGCGCTACGGAGACTGCGCAAACCTCCAAATTTTATTATATTCAATGGAATTTGACGCGCGTGAACTGCTTAGGGTTTGAATCATTTGTTTGTGCTTTTCGTCCTCCCTCCGTTAGTCTAGTCTCGTGCCCTGTCCTGCTCCTACTCACGTTCCTCCCAACAGCCTGCCAGGTCAGAGAGTAAAGCTCCCACCTACGATTTACTTAGTTGATGGTAAGATCTACGATTTAGTTAGTCATTTATTTCAGCTCATCGTGTCAGAATATTATGCTCTAGCCTGT